CCACCCTATCCCAGCCATATTATTCACATATCGAGTCCCAACAGCAACAGTGTAAGGATGAGCACGACAGTGCAGGTGAGCATGAAGGATGGACAATCTTCGGGGATTTTAGATTGGAAACACAACAAAACACTAACACTTAGGGATTTGAGAATAGTCAGACGTCTGCTAATATCGATGATTCGTTTTTAGATCGAATCAATGAATTGTTAAACGAATTCAATCAATGGCACCAGCGTGACCAAGAAGAACAATAACGTCGTCTATCATTTTATTTTTAGATCATATGTTACTAATTTTATGCTTTATTGTAGTCCATGTATGTTGATATACTTATTCCATGATAATTATATATTTATCCTTTTGTGTGATGTAAATTAAATGCTGAATGGCGGTTCATGCAGGGAAAGAACATATCAATATTCTCATATTCATTCAAAAACATGAAAATTCTTAATGGAGTACCCTCATTTCTTATTGAATTCCTAAAAAACAATATTTATAATGAATTTTAATAATTTTTTCGGATTTTTTTTTAAGCTTTATTATGACCGATTCACCCGATTCCCGATCTGGATCGCCGATTCGTCGATCCGGATCGGTTTTTTGGAAGCCCGATCAGGTTCACCGATCTGTTTTTTAAACCATTGGTTGAAACAATTCAAAAAACAGAAAAATGAGTTTCAAATTTTTTTGAATCATTTAAATGATTTAAGGGGGGGTTTCATGAAACCAAATTTTCTGATTTTAGGGTTTTAAACAACTCAATATAAAAAAAGTGGGTTTAAACAATTGAAAACCCCTAAGATCAAGAGTTTTAGAAAGAGAAAATTCTCTATGAGATCAGTCAAAAGATTCAAAACACTGACATTTTTAAATCATTTAATATATTTTTTTAAAATGCTGTTCATACAACAGCTTGAATCTGATTTATTTGAATAAACTTTAAAATAAATAGATTGAATGATTGAACTCAATCCAGATTTGTTTTTGAAATTTAAACAAACACCAAGTTATTTAAATAAAAAATCATAAATCAAAAGTTCAAAAATAAAACCCATTTTAGATCCAAACAATTAGAACATTGCAACTGATTCTTTAAATCAAGTAAGGATTTCAGAATCTCAAAATCCGGATATCAAACAATTATTATTATCTGTATAATCGTTTAGAACTCAAAAACTTCAAAGCCTCAAATCTTAGTTTTCTGCACTAAATCAATGCGATTCATTTATTTCAATAAAAATATATGGCCATTGAAGACCTACAAAAACTTTGTAACAAAATTGAATAAATTTGGTGAAATAATGGGAGAGTACCTAGGCAAATAAGATTGCAGAGCTGCTATTTTCATAAGGAGGGCGATTTCACGGGAACTTGGATAGATCTCTTGCTAGTTTCGAGCTGATACGAGCAGTTCCGAAACGGATTAGTGATTTTTAATGCCTTGATATACGATAACTCGCCATTTAGTATTGATTATTTACATATGATTAATAAACTACTTCAAAACTCATGTTGTAGCACAATGTACTTTTCTATGTCATGATTGGAGCATGATATTTGCAAAGCAGGTGCATCAAGTTGAGTTTGTGGTCCTATGCATCGGACGGTTCGGAGATGTTCCCAAGTTGCCCCTGCTCCCTCAGAACAATGGTCCCCAAGTTTTCAAGGGAGAAGTTATGCATGCCAAGGATTACTCTGAGTTGAGTAGCTCAGAAGCAGCCTATGCGGTTCGGGGGAAGCGAGTCGCCGTTGTCGGATTCCAGAAGTCGGCCCTAGACATAGCTGCTGAATGTGCCCGTGTAAATGGTGAGTATATCATTGAGACAAGTGCAGTCTATTCTCAATAAAGCACGGTGAATATCGATTTGAGAAACTTCTTAAAATACACTTATGAGGCGAACTATTTAATATTTTGTATGTGTTTTTTATTTTAATCTTAAAAATACCATCAAAATGCACAGAGTTGAACGTTTGGAATAGTTGAAAATTACTAAAATGTTAAATAATTGTAGGTTAGTTTTTCCGGATTATTTGGGGTCGGCTACACGTTTGCCTGTTTTGAGCCTTCCACATGAACTAACTCGCACCTCCTAACAAGTGTCGTATTGGATCTGTACTGTACATGGCCAGCTCACTTAAGTCTATCTTCTGTCATCTTATCGCTTATTGGTGTCAAATCTAAGTTCTGTGAACATCATAAACCACGGTGCCTCATCTTGTAGGTGCCTAATTAAGTTGTCATTAACTAAGACAATTGTAGGTTAACTGTATTTCAATAAATTTTTTCTATTGAATTTACTTAGGTGAATGTTCAAATTTTGGACCCAAATACTATTCGAGTTTGGGTCCGGGCCCGGGTCTAGCCAGACCTGACCCGTTGCCACCCCGAGTATTTTTCAAGTTTTTAGTTCCGTAACTAAGACTACATTTTAGATAAGGAAGACATGCATGAAGGCTTCAATTATTTGTTGATTCTTTTTTTTGTTTTTTCTTCAGGAAAGCAAATTCCATGTAATGTGATATTGAGGGCGCCTCATTGGAATGTTCCTCATTACTTGCCATGGGGTGTGCACTTGGCTTATCTTTATTGCACGCGTTTCTCAGAGTTATTAGTGCACAAGCCTCAGGAAGGGTTTCTCCTTTCTCTTCTAGCCACTCTTCTTTCTCCAGTGGTAAATTTTAAATCCAAAGCAAATAGTTTCTTCATAAAAAGAAAAACTTTTACTTATCAGATGCTGATATTTATTTCTATAACTGTCTAACACTT